ACAAGGCTGACCGGGGAGTGATCTCTGAGGAATAAACGATGTGGCTCAGCTCTCCTCCCCACACAACAACTATTAGGAAAAATCAGCTCCCTTGGCGGCAGAAATGGACCCTGCTGGAACCCAGTCATGAACAACCTTGTAACCGTGTATCTCATGGTGATTCGATTTAAAATTTTTGGTTTTGGGGGAAGAAAGAAAAAAATAAATAAAATGTCAGTTCCTATGTTATTTTATAGCTTCGCGGTGCAGTGCTCAGGGGCTATTCCTAGATCTGTGCTCCGGATCCCCGCTTGGGGATCTGAGCCCAGACCTGCCTGTGCGAAGAGCAGGCTCCAGCCCCTTGAGCCACCCCCAGCCCCTCCAGTTTTTGTTTTTTGTGGTCGGAGTGAGAGCAAGCAAGATCTTGACAAATGATTTAAAGGCTAATCTGGGGGGACAAGGTTGTTTTTAATTGTCTCCGCATTTGACTGTATGTGTGGGTTATGTTTTCTCCCACAAGAAGAGCCATTAAACTGCTCCGAAGTGCTGAGTTCATCATTCTTTTTCTGTTCAGAAAACATCCAGTGCCTGCCCACTGCTGCAGCTTGGAGTTTACACTTCCTCCTGGTATTCAAGGCATTTCACAGCCTGTTTCCACCTTCACTATGCAGGCCTGCGTCCTCCTTGCCAAAACATGCCTTGTTTATCCCCCTCTCCTGCTCACTGACACTGTAAATCTCCCTGGTCCCCCCTGCCAGGGCCTGCAGCACCCCACCTCCTTGCTCCCCTCCCCCACCTCTGTGTTCCTGTGTATGTGTGTCTGTGTCTGGCACGCGCACACACACTCACAGCTTGTCCTGTCCTCTCTGTGCTGAGGCTCCTCAGTGCGGGAACCACATCTTCTTCCTGTCTTCTGTTCTCTAGCAGGGGTTCTCAGAACGTCTGTGATGCGTTTAACTTCTCTGGACAGAAAGGGCCCCTTGAGAATTCCTCGCCCAGCCCTGTCTCCGGTGGTCCCCTGCCTCAACATCCCAGACAGATGGTCACCCCAGGGCAGGAAGCTGCCCCTCCCGAGAAGGCACCCCCAGATAGGTCTGCTGGGGCAAGAGTGTGAGGGCTCCTGCATACTCACTGTGTGCAGGAGTGTGAGGGTGTCTGCTTGCACCACCCAGATGAAGCCAAGAAGAAGGATCAAGGAATAAACGATTCTCCCATGACATTTCTCCCATGACTTGGGCCTTCTGGGGCTTTCAGACTCCTGGCAGTGCTTGGGGGACCATATCGGATGTCGGGGATTGAACCCAGGTCAGCCACATTCAAGGCAAATGCCCTACCTGCTGAAATATCACTCTAGCCCCTTGACTGCCCTCTTTGGACCCGTGGATCAGTACCGTGGGACAGGGAGCCTGGCAGATCTGGGCTTACGTTCTGGCACTGCCAAGCGGAAATGTGAGACCTTGGGCTGGTTATTCAGATGCGTTGAGCCATTGTTGTTTCCTTTTGGTTTGGGTTTTGGGGCCACACCTGGCGGTACTCAGGGATCACTCCTATTGGGGGGGGCATGTGGTGCCAGGGATGAACCCATGTCGGCCCATGCAAGGCAAGTTTCCTACCCACTGTACTATAACTCCAGACCCTCTGTAAGTCGTTGTTACCCCATTTCTCATAAAACCACCCGTGAGTGGTTGGATTTAGTCAGAAACGCTTGGTAAGCTCCTAGCCCAGTTCTGGCTTTCAGAAAGTGCAGGCATGCTTAGCTTCCTGCTCTCCTTTCTGCTTCCCCGACCTTGGCTCCCCCCACCCCCCCCCAATTATTTTATTTGAAGGGGAAACGCTCTGTGGCTTCCCTAGGGAAAATGAGGGGGGGTAGGGAGCCCAGGCTAGTCTTGGTAGGTATTTGGCAGCAAACTGTCCGCTTTCTGTGAGCCTCTGGTAAGCTCAAAGCTGGTCAGGAGAGTTCCGAGGAGAGCCTGGACAGCCACTGTTGCTCTTGGTCACATATCGAGCTGGAGGGGGACGCTGGGCTTTAGTATCCCCACACTCCCTTCCACCCCTTCCCACCTCCTCCACGCTGCAGTCTCAGCCCGCCCCACACAGCTGTCCGGAGAGCAAATCCTTTCTGGCCCATAGCGTGCCCGCAGCCACGACACAGCTCTGAGCTTGTGTCCGTGACCACCCTCAGTCAGTGTGAAGACCAGAGGGAGTTGCCGCAGAGGCCTGCTGTCGTCCTCCCTGGGCATAGACACAAGTCACCAGGACACCTGGTGGGCTTCGTGCTGGACTGAGGGGCCAGGAGCTCCTTCGACGGGCACCCCACATCCTGTGAAGCTGGGCCGAAGCTGCTGTGTCCGGGGGCAAGGGCGACACAGAGTGGACGCCCCCACCAGCCCCAGCTGAATCTGAGGTGAAGCAGTAGATCGATCTCACAGGGTTCTGCTGTGCGACTGCTCAATACCGCCTATCCCTGTGTGCCCATATCACCGAGCAGGCAAGAGCAGTTTCAGCCACCCCCCCCCCAGCCCCCCATGGGTCACACCTCCCAGGCCATTGCTGGCACAAAGTCCAGTCCCACCCCCACCCCCTGCAGCTGGGTAGAGCAACACCCCCAGCTGCCAGCCCCTTGAGACATTCTTCCCTGCCGGACTCGCACTTGGGTGTTTATTTTCACACATAGTCACTGCCCCTTGTTTTTCCTCTCCTCTCACTGCCCGAGCCCAGTCTGAGACTTGGGGGTTGTGGATTCCATCCCCTCCACCAACCAAGTGTTAAATAGTTTCTGAGTGACTTGCCCAGTGCCTGGAAATCACTGTAATTAGCAAAAACCTGTGTTTTCTGCTCTCCTGATGGCCAGTGGAGAAAGGGCCCTCCCATAGCCAGAACCTGCCTGGGCGCTCTTGTGCCCGAGAGCTGGGAATTGAGAGCCACCATAAACAGCTGACATAACAGAAGCAGCAATGCTTCCCCATTAAATGTCTTTCAGCCGATAGGGGCTCCTGGGATAATTGACTTTCCAGCGGGAATTACTGGCGCAAATGTAATCACTGGGCATTAGGGCAGCCTACAGCCTCCTTTGAAAGGGGGACTGTAACTCTGTCTGGTTTTGCTGACCCGACAGGCATAATTCATCTTGATTATTCATTGTGTTGGTTGCCACCAGATGACAGCGGATTTCTGGTGACTGTAATTACAGTGTGGGGGTGAGCCTGGAGCATTGTTTTCAAACCTGGTGATTGGCCTCTCTAGGTTGACTCTGCGGGTGGGGTGGGGGCGGGGGCGGGGTGGGGTGGGGGGGTGGCGCCTGCATCTGCTTGGGAAGAACTGATGCCTGGTGAAGCATTCACTGGCGTCCTTACACATCTTCACCAGACACACGGGGGAAGAATCGGTCTGGTGTCATCTGTCTCGTTTGCCCCGACGTGGTGTCGCTTCTTGGTCCTGCTGCTGGCAGGGAGTGGGTCTATGTCCCAGGGCCCACCTGGAGTCAGGGGCTCCCAGTATGGTCCCAGGACACATGAGTTAAAAACCCGCTTTCAGGCACTCTGGAGTGAAGGGGGTGGTTGGAGAGAGCGGAAGTAGAGCCTGCTTTCATCTTAGAGGCTTGGTTTCACAAGATCCCCAGGAATGCTTTCCCAAGAGACAGCTGCTCCTTGGGGGCCCCATTGGCCCGCCCGCCCTGCGTAAGACACCCAGCCCGCTGCTCATGTATACACGTGTGTGCGTGTATGAGTGTGTGCTTGTAGTCCTGGGGGAAGAGGAGAGCGTGAGGGGTTCTGTGCCATACACTGGGGCAGGAGTGAAGAGCAGCCATGTTCCTCTCTGGACCTTTCCTCCCCCCCCCCCCCCCCCCAATCTCTTTTAACTCCCTTGGATGTATGTGTGCATACTTAATCAAAGTGGTGACGCTTTCTGATGGTGATTGTCAGGTCCTGTGAAATGCCAGGGTCTTCAGGTATTGCCTGCTGGAATATGAGATCTGTCACCTTTTCCATCTTGGAGCTTGCAGTGTAGTGAGGGTGACAGAACGTTCCAAACCGGAAGTGGACAGAGATTAGATTACCCCCAGAGCCTGGGGAGCCTGGGGAGAGAAGGAAGGCGGGCTTCTCTAGGGTGGGGGATTGTGGGCCCCTGGGGGATTCCACAGGGCCACAGTATGAGACTAGGGGACCAGCTGGTGGGGGTAGGGGGTCGGAAAAGTGGGAAGGAGGCCAGGGTCAGGGAGAGGTTGAGAAGCACTGTCCTAGACCTTGTGACGTCTGGTCCGAGGAGAACCAGCTTCCATCGGGCCTGGAATCGTAACAGAGATGCACCCACCATACTCCCCTTGCACTGTGTAGTTCAACCAAATCAGTTCACAAGGATCAGGTTCCCATTGATCCCCTAACGAAAGAAAGAGGCAGGCTGTCTCTGTACCTCGGGAACAGGCCCCGATCAAGAGGAATTCTGGCCCCAGGAGAGGGTCAGCAGGGAAGACACGGCTTCCCGGACTCCGTCCTGGTCCCTTTAACTCTCTGGGCCTGCCTTTTTTGGAGGGGTGGGGCTTGGGGCCACGCCCAGTGATGCTCAGTGGCCCCTGCTGGTAGCCACTCACTGTGATCACCTTGTGCCCACTTGTGAGGCACACAAGGTGTTGTCACGAAGGACCGTGTACTCGTGTACTGTTACAAGCAGCAACCTGCCGGAACCCACAGAAAGGGATCTACACGGAAGGGTGGTTCCTGGACATCTCCCGGGACGGGGCAGGTTCTCACTTGGCCTCCGTATCATCTCCCCGCTCCCCGCCCCCCCAGCTGCCCCCTCCTCCGGATGGAGATGAACCTTCCACCTGGCTCCTTCTTTAATTTGGAAACTTCATTTAAAGCCAGAAAAGGAAGAGAACACCTCCCCAAAGACATCCCCGCGTGCATGCGTGTCTTTCAGTCTGGCGCCGTCACCAGGGGTCTTTGCCTCTCCACAAAACGCTTGTCCTGCCCTCTCCCTCTTCTCCTGCTCACTTCTGAACTCGGTGCTTTGTTCCCCTTTAGAACGGTGGATTGGCCTGGAGTGAGGACGCGGATGGAGCCCGGGGAAGAGAGATCTCTCGAGATTTTGCCAAGGTCTGTCATGTTCCCCTGGTGCTAATGGAAAGGGCAGTTCTGCCGTGGTTTCTTGTATCTAAATCCTGGGGGGAAGGCACAGGCGTTGTGTCCTGGGTGCAGCATTTCAGATGTCGCCTGTCTCTAAGATCAGGCTTTCTGCATGGAATGAAGTTTTCATTGTATGGTGTTTTTCTGTTTCCTATTTTCCTCCTGGGGTATTGGAACTGCAGCTGTATGAACTGGACAGTGACCCGGAAAGAAAAGAGTTCCTGGATGACCTCTTCGTCTTCATGCAGAAGCGGGGTGAGTGCAGTCTGCTCTCGCATGCAGTTTGGAGACGTGTGTTTAATGCCTCCTGGGTGCCCGTCCCTGCTGCTCTTCTCCCCAGGGTGGCAGCATTGTGGCTCGGGACCTCTGTGAATTGGTTTCATGTTGAGCTGAGTAACTGATGGATTGAGGAGGACAGGAAACGCTTTGGCAGAAAATAAATAAAATTAAGGGATGAAGAGAGAGTGCAGAGGCTTAGGGGCTTGCCCTGCCTCGATCCCCGGCACTACATATGGTCCCCCAAGCACTCCTGGGAGTGATTCCCTGAGCACAGAGTCAGGAGTAATCCCTGAGCACTGCTGGGTGTGACCCCAAGAACCCTCTCCTCCCTAAGTAAGTCATTGAATAAAATGAGCACGCAAATTTGCCTCTGCTTTATCTTTGCCACACTTTTCTGATTAACTGGTCTTGGAGTCATTTTCCATTTAAATTCTACTTATATAATTATAAAATTGAATATTCAGCTATTCGAACAAATTTAAGGGTACTTTTTTGTTTGTTGTTTTGCTGGGGGCCTCACCCAACTGTGCTCAGGGATTACTCCTGGTGGGGCTCCTGTGGGGTGCTGGGGATTGAACCTGGCTTGGCTGCGTCTGAGGCAAGCACCGCCCCTGCTGCGCCCATCCCCCTTAAACTCGGCAGCAGCCCTGGACGTTACGTGCACTTGGGTGTGGGGCTGCTTGTTGCTGCACCTGGTCTGCAGAGCCCAGGCCAGTCTGAAGAGTTCAGCCCCTCGGGATTTGTCGAAGGGTCTGAAATGGTCTGGGGAAAGGGACGGCGTCTGTTCCCAAGTTCCAGCATCCCCTGGCTGTCAGGGCATCCTGCACCTTTTCTGTGGAGCGCTGTTTCTCACGGGGGTGGGGTGGGGGGGGGGGCGCTTGCCTGATAATCCAAGAGGGTGCAGGTAGAAATCATGGGAACGGGGGACCACAGCACGGGACGGGGACGGGGCAGGGGCCGGAAGGAAACACGGTCGGCAGGGGCCAGTGTCTGGTGAGAGAAGGTGCGAGAAACGCTGTCGGTAGCCAGGCACCCGCCTCTCTCCCTGCTTCCCCCCTCGCCTCACTCCCCCGACTCGGCACCACGGCACCACCAAGGGGCCGGACACAGCCTCTCCTGAGGAGGACCCTCAGCCTCCTGCAGGGCTTCGGACAGCGCCTTCGGGACGTGCTCCCTGTCGCGGGGTCCACTTCTGAAGGCTTTGGAAGGGTCTCGTTTCCGGCAGCAGGCCCATCGGAAGCCGTCTCGGCGGCACTAATGAGTTTACTCCTCCAGCTGTTTTCTCGAGCTGCATGTGTCCATAAAAAAAAAAGAAGAATATAATCCCAAAAGATAACGTGACTGGCAGGCAACAAAACTCCCTGGTTGCCCTGCGAGGGAGAATCCACTTAATACTTCGGTCTCCCCTTCCAATTACCTTTTAATTATTTACAAGCACCGCAGGCCCAGCTGCTGCAGGCGCGGGTGCGGCCTGGTCTCCGAGGGGCTGCCGTAGCAATACAGAGTGCCACCAGCGCAGCAGGGCCACCGCTCTTCTCCGCTTTATTGTTTCTTCCTCCCTTCCCAGAAGGACTTTTAAAGGAGAAGGGAGGTTGTTTTAGCCCCGCCAAGAGGGAACTTGGGTCCCGGTGCCTGCTGCCGTATTGTCTCCGCCGGACTAGTGTCCCCTAAGGCGGCCACTCTGATGGGTCCGGGTGCAGGCAGTTCGCCCAAGGGCAGCGCCGGGAGGTCAGCCTCGAGAGCCGTGTGGAGGTGGTGGTCCGTGCAGCTCGCCCCCTGCTCCTCTGTGCCAGGGCGTTTCTTTCCGCAGGAAGCCGAAGCCCAAAGCTGGCAGTGGCCCATTCAGACCCGCCTGGCCGTCCCCGCGCCTCCAGCGCCTCGGTTAGGCGTTTCGCTGTTTGCTGGCGTGGCTGGCGGAGGGCCAGAGTCGCGCCAGATTGGCTGTTCGTTAGTTGCGCTCACACCAGGTTTTCTAAACTCAGCAGTACTGATTGGGGGGACCGAATAGCCCTTTGTTGTGGGGGCAGCTTGCCCCAGCTGCGGGGACCCAAATGTCGCTAAGGTATTATTCATTTTAGGAAGGGTGAGTAGGGAGAGCAGGTGAACATCTAAATCTTCCTCTGCAAGGGGAAAAAATCATGATGTCAGTTGTTTTCTGCCCTCCACTCAGGTGGGAGCGCCTGAAGGTGGCGGGGCCCATGTCAGGTTCGCTCTCAGGCCTCCATCCTGTGGCGGGGTGCCGGAGCCATGTGGGTATGGAGGAATCCGTGTGGTCCCCGAACGTGTGTGGCCATGGCGGAGGTGGCCGAACCCTTGACTGTAGCCGGGATGAGCCGCTGGTGCCTGGCTATGAAGACTTGAATGTGGCCGTTAAGAGGCAGCCCTATCTGTGGACAAAACCGAGCTGGGGATGGAGTGTGGCTGGCAGGGTGGGGTACTTCCCTGCAGTGCCCTGGCATTGAGGTTCATCTCTTGGTGACGCCTGGGCCGGGCGCCCGGGTACAGTCTGCACGTGGTGGGTCTGGCTTGTGCTGGGGATTGAACTCAGGAATCTGCACGTACCACGTGTCCCTCTCAGCCTTTTGACCCGTGTCTCTGGGCTGGACAGGGGAGATTGAGGCAGAGAGACAGTACAGAGGGGGTGCCTCTTAAATTCATGTGTCCTTCTGGAAAACTCATTGGTCTAAATCAGTATCTGTTAATGGGCCCTCCGAGCCCCTAGGATAATTCAGAGGGCACAGTGTGAGCCTCAAGGCCTCACCACTCAGCAGGGGCCACGGTGGGAGGGCTGAGAAGCGTTGGTCTGGGTTCAGATGGTCATTCCCGATTTCCTGGGTCGCAGAAGTGCCATCTTTGCGGTTCTCTGAACACCAAGAACCAGGTGCCCCTCGAGACTCGAGACGTGGAGACTCCCAAATTGGGGCACCTGGGCGCTCAGGAGCCAGATCTTGTTAGCGGCGTCTGCGGAACGGCCGCCCAGGCCTCAGCAGCAGGTCAGCACTCAGCACAGTCTGATGTCCAAGCAGAGAGGACCAGGGGCGGGCATCACAGAGCTTCTGGAAATGGCCTAGTGCTGCCTACGGGCGGGGGTGGGCGGGGCAGTCCTGCTGGCCACAGGGCAGAGGAAGTGGACAGGGCTCCAAGGAGGCCGTGCACAGCAGGCCACAGCAAGTGACTGCAGCTGCAGGTGATAAAAGCTGGTCCCTGGGGAGGGGGGCGGGGCGGGCTCTGCTGAGAGCTGTGACTCCCTCGTTAACGCGCCGGAGTGAATTGACCACAGCAGATGGGCTTTTCAGCCAGGCTGCCTGTGCCTCCGTGGACAGCACCTGAGAAGAAGGCAGTTCCAGTGGAACCCCTTGTCCCCAGCCTCCTAGCCCCTCCCCTCCCCCCTCCCTGGGCTGCTGCCCTTTGGAAGGCTCTGGGAAAGCCAGGGCGAGCACCCCACCCCCTTCTCCACGGTCCTGCGGGTGTCTGTCCCCTCTGGGTGCCTGTTTCCTTGGCTGCAGAACTCTGGAGGTGGATGGAGGTTCGGGCTGGACGTTTGACCACCTGCATTGCCTGTCCACGGTCATGTCACCTGCAGATCCTCTTAACACCCCAAAAAAGGGCAGAAAGAAAGAGCCCCAAAGGCACGTTCTGTTGAAGTCATTGTGTCATTGTGTGAAACAGTGCAGGAGGACCCCAGGATCAAAGCCCCTCCTCTCTCCTTGCTGAGTGAGTGGGGTTGCTCTCTCGCTGTCTGTAGCCAAGTTGACTGATTCAGTCTCCCCCACACACCCGCAAAAGGCTTTTCTGTAAAGGTGGGTTGAATGTCAGCACTCAGTACACTTTTTCTCACATTTTGCTCGGTGTGTGTATGTGCTTTAAAAATACACACATTTTTTCTTTGCCCAGAATAAAGCCAGATGGTTGTAAATAAAATGCTCTGGCCAACTTGACTCCCCGTGGGTGGCTTCCGAGATAACATTCCCTGGTGGTGGATTTTTTCCAGGGGGGAATCGAGAGGGCGAGGGGACTGATTTGAAAGTCTGATAAGCTCCCGACCGGTTCCATTCTTCTTCATTGGTGAGGAGGAAATCCTTTTTTCCTCAGGAGTGGAACTGGCGTGGCCACATGAGAAAGGACGCACCCTTCACAGAGCCCTTTCTCTCTGTGTGAAGGGGGCTCGGGAGAGGAAAGGTTTCTGAGTTAGCCACGAAGATGCCCAGTTCCATACTCATCTGAAGCTGCAGAGCCCACAGGCAGGTGGGTCCCCTTAGCACCAGCTCGATGCTTCCTGCCCTGCCCTGCATCCTGGCTCTCCATCCCCCGAGTCCTGCAGAGCCCTGGCCGGCTGTCTCTCCAGACTGCCATGCAGCAGAGGTAGGCGGCCCAGGGCCAGACCCGCCTCTGAGGGAAGGGCAGATGTGCCCTCTCAGTGGTCCAGAGGGTGCCGTCTTTTCGGGCGGGCAGCGAGACAAAGCCCTCACGGCAGCGTCTTGTGCACGCCCAGGAAGACCCCCCAACCCAAGCAGGACTCCCGCCCCCCGCCCCAGCGCCTACCCAGGTGGCTGACCAGGCTCCTGCGCCCCCTGATCTGTGGCAGACAGATCCAGTGAAGACCTCACTCGGAGCGGCCACCCTCCCCCACCGGCTCTGTCAAGGCTGCAAACTGACCTTGGTTTTTCCCAAATGGATTGTTGGGATCTGTTTTCGCTGTGTATCTACAAAGAATTTACTGTGGGAAAATGGCCGGCTCTGCCTGCGAGTGCCAATTGAGTGTTTTTCCTTCTGTTGTGTGCTTATCTATCCATCTGGGGCGAGGAAACGCGCATGACATATATTGCCGTGGCCTTTTGGTGGGGGCGGGCCTCGGGTAGTCTTTGTATTTTGTAGTAAAGGGCTGTGCCCGGGCCTCTCTTCCTTTGCCCTTTTAGGCAGGTGGGTGCCTCTTTCCCAAGTCTCACCCCTAAAGGGAGTCTGAAATGCAGATCTTT